TCCCGCAGATTAATAGCGGCTCCCTGATACCCGCAAATTAGTTCAAATCTCCCGGAATCTAGAGCGAGCGAGCAAGAGCGTGCACATACTGCGTTTCAAACTGTTTCAAAAGCGAGAGAACCCTTGCGCATACACAGTAAAAGTATAACCTGTGGGAAAAACGGCACTTTAAACCTTATTTTGGGGCAAAGTCATCAAACTTTTTCAGCGATTTTTATCATATTTTACTGCTATTTCTATATGCAATTTTTATGTCCCGGTGAACAGTGAAAGTGCAGTTCTGAGTCTCTGGCCATTCATTTAGATAGGAGCCAGGTCTTATTAGTCTGAAATAGCTGCCCGGAGGCGTTGCCAAGATGGCGGCCGAGTGGCACGACTTGCCCAAAAGGACTTTGGTAATAATGATTAGGCCGCCCATCTCCACGTCGCTTTTACAACATTTCAAATCCCTCGGTTCTCCGAAAAGCCAAGCCAATGTTGATTCTTGTTTTATTACGAGCTCTGTCACGTTCTCTTTTTGCCAGCAGAAGCTCCTCTATTCGACATTGTTTTAAAACGGGTGATTCACCAGAAGTTTGAGATTTATCAGTTTTTCTTGCTCGTTGTGACAACTGACCTACGCCAGTCCCACGTCAAAGTAACTTTTCTTTATTTACGGATGTGACGGGACACGCGCGGATGAGGGACTCAAGTACGCTATTTTGTGCAAAAAGCATCCCGCTAGGTCTAAAATATAAACACTTTTATTCACCATAGTGAATCAGGGTAAGGCAAAAACACATTTTGTTCATTTTGAACAAAAAAAAATTGAATAGTGTACCTTTAAACGTCTGTGGAATTGTCTAGATTTTAATGTTTTTTTTTTCTGTGTTATTTTCCCACTTGGATTGAAGTGTAAGGGAGTTCATATACACAACACAAAAACAAACGTTCCAGTGTGTGGAGTGTTGTGTTGTTGCTGGAACACTGGTGCGTTGTGGGGATGTAGGTTTAAGTCGAGCACATAAGACTCGCTCGACACACGCTGCAGATTCCCTTAATCTCATGGATTGGATGATATTGATGATTTAGCAGATCTGCCCATGTTCCTACAGCCACAGTGGACTCTGCTGGACTGCAGGTATGGCAGCATTAGAAACTCAGATGTGAACAAAACAACAGGTTTTTGACATGCAGCAAATCTTCTTTTGAGGCGTTTCCATATGCTGCGATCAAATAGGCTTGTTAACCTAGCACAGAGATAACATATAGTAATTGTATTTACACCTTACCCTTACCCTGGTAGATAGTGTATCAGACATCTGAATGTGGATGATTGATTCTCATTATTATCATTATCGTGATAGATTAGGCGCTGAGAAAAAATGTTTAAAAGGAACCGTATTGCCAAAATGTCAATATGATGTTTGCATATTTACAATTTTGGAGCATTTCTTTAAATAGATATTAAAACAACATTCAAAGGACCTAGAGATTGGCATGGTTTTACTTCAGTTAGCCTTATAGCTGGTTTGATTTGCATTGAAAATGATCTTATGGAAAGTACCCCAGGCCAATCTCTAGGTATGGTGAAGGGTGTGTGATGATGTGGGTCTATTTTAACTTTACCAGGATGCATATTATCCTGGATCCATGAAATAACTGGCTTTTAAAGGGATACTCCACTTTTTTTTTTTGGAAATAGGCTCATTTTACCACTCCCCCAGAGTTAAACAGTTGGGTTTTACTGTTTTTGAATGTATTCAGCCAATTTTTTTATATATATATTTAGAAGAATATCAGTAACCAGACAGTTTCTGGTCTCATTGACTTGCATAGTATATATTTTTTCCTACTATGGAAGTCAGTGAGACCAGAAACTGTCTGGTTACTGATATTCTTCTGAATATCAGAAAATTGGCTGAATGGATTTGAAAATGGTAAAACTCAACTGTTTAACTCTGGGGGAGTGGTAAAATGAGCCTATTTCCAAAAAAAGTGGAGTATCTGACTATATTGGAATTTAACATGGGATGTTTGACTTATGCACCCTGTATTTTAAGAAAGAACATTTATTTATTTTTGATACATTATTTATATATACACAAAGAAAATTGGTGTCCTTAAAGGTTGGATTTTTCCTCATTTTTATTAAGATCAATTTCCAAAAGATGATTTTTTTTATTCCTCTTTTTAGGCAACTTTAGCATGGGTGTCCTAACTTAGTCACATGACTGTATATATCAATATACTTTGTCTCATTCTTCCCATTCTTTGTTATTGTTCAGTGGCATGAGGGAAATCCTGAAATTTAGCGTATAATATTCAGGCAGGAGTGTGCGTCTGGCGCAAAGCTTTTACTGTATAATTCATATTCCTGTCATTATCAGCAAAGCGAGGTCGCCGAGGGCACGTGGTAAGTGACCTCTCTCCGTCCGAGCGCTGCACGTGAAAAAAAAAAAAGGACGGCGTATCTTAGAGCCTGTCTCTTTCTTAATGAAAACGGTGAGATGCAACGGCCTCTGATCTTGTGTTTTAGTCAAATAGGACTCTACGCTTGACTGACAGCTCTGATCTAAAGCATTTAAGTGCAAGTTTTGATCTCTCTGCCTTTGATTAAAACTAATGAGCTCATTTAATTCAAAATGGGAATTTCTGATAAGAGAAATAAGGTTGATGTGATTGGATTAGAGAGGCGAATTAAACTCTTAGAGCTGAAGTTTGTGCTTATATAGTGTATTAAAAGCTGTTGGCATATTCTTGTGTGTTAGATGATGAGAAAAATTTCATAGTAATTCATATTTAATCAGAAGAAATGAAATGACTAAATATAACATGGCTCTGCCTTTTCCCCAGAGTGATAAAGGACTAGTTAGATTTTAAATGACATTTAATTCATGTTCAGAGAGAGAGAGAGAGAGAATGGGAAACACAGCAGTCCACACCCACAACCATATTAGGGTGTCTCTTTAACTACACTTATGTCCCAGGGGTTGATTTTATTAAGACAGATTTTGTTCATGTTTTTCAAATGCTTATTATGCATGCATTTTATTCTTGTCCAAGAGACAGATCTTAACATTTCATCATAAAATAAAAGTACATTGATTGATGTTAAATTATTATACACAGTTACAATTTTTATTGTTTTCAATATTTATATTATATTTATTGAAAATGATTACAGTTATTTCAACAACACATTTTTACACAAACTATGATTAAATTGTGGCACAGTTTGTCTCCTTATAAAATTTCACTAAAACATGGTTTCAAATGTTTTGAATTTCCACCAAATTCATTACCACAACAAAATTCTATTATGCATTATTACTAATTTTGTTGAAAATGCTCATAGCTTAAGAAAAATGACAGAATTGCCTTGTGGGCATTGTTTTGGACAAATTATACAGTACTAATTTTCCTTTTCATTATAATGTATAAGTCTCCTATGCTCTGCATTTATTTGATCAGAAATACAAATTGCATACTGTGAAATATTATTACAATTCAAAATAATTGTATTCTATTTTAAAAAGTTTAAAAATGTAATTCATTCCTGTGATGACAAAGCTGAATTTTTTTTTTTGTGAATGATTAGCTTATTCCTGGCTTTAGTGTCACGTGATCCTTCAGGAATTATGCTCATGATGAGGGCATTTTTATTTGTACATTGTTTGTTTTTAATAGATAGATAGATAGATAAAAATAGATTTTATTTTTTTAAATATTGTAACTGCTTTGGCTCTGAGAGCGAAACTATACTAGTCTATCTTACTATTTAAGATTTTATTTTCTTCTGTATATTTTTTCTTCTGTATAATATTACAAAGTCCAACTGTTGTCCATGTGTTTTTAGAGACAGGACCTCTTTGATTGAATACCCCTGATTTAAACATAGTGTTAAGATCGAGTTCCACAAAAGATTTATATTGAATGTTTTAATACATTTAATAAATACATTAAATAAATTTTGTTTATTGAACTTTCTATTCATCAAAGAATCCTGAAAAAAATATCATTTCCACAATGTTAAACAGCAAAAAGAAAAAGAAAAAAAAAAAGCTGCTAATCATCATGATTCTGAAGGATCATGTGATGCTGAAGACTGGGGTAATGATGTTGAAAATTCAGCTTTGCACAGGAATAAATTACATTTTAAAATATATTAAAATAGAAAACCATTTTTTTAATTTGTCATATTTTGCAAAAGAGATTTTTTGGATGAAATAAATGCAGCCTTGGTGAGCATAAGATCATTCTTTCTAAAACAATAAAAACATTGTAAGGTTTTCAAACTTTTGACAGACCTGTACTGTCAATATAAAGTGAGACTGTGGAAATTTTTCTTTTTATAGTTTATTTTCTCCGGGCTGGACCTCCTCTGATGTCTGTTTGTATAATGTTGAATGTCAAAACTAGTTAAAATATGCAATTAATTTTGCTCTAATTAAGCGTGTTACCGCAAATTAGCTGAACGTCCGTTATTCGCAGGTGTCCTTGTGTTCAGATTATATCTATCAATCTGATTATTATAGTATAAGAAATATATTGTTTTGTTGGCTGTCATTGCAAATTCTATATTGTGATTATATTTGTATGTTTTGTTTGCACATGTACAGCTCAGCAATGCTAGGGTGTTGCGGGGTGAATTCTTATCAAACCAAGTTTGTTAGATTGCTCTCTTCTTAATTTTCCCATTTCCTAATTTACACATTCCCATGAAGGCAAACACATCTAACACCAGCTTGGGGAGGTTTATTCATTTGCCATGTAGTGTTTAAAGCAATTATGTTAGTCAAGGCTCCGCTTCATGCTATTAGTAAATACAATTAAAACATTGTCAAAGTTTGATTAGCACCTTCCCCCTTATCAGGTTGTGCTGTTTCATTAACTGTCGACTAAGAGATGATAGAAACTCAATGAGACAATATCGCTAAAGCAGTCTGATATCTCTGCGTCTGAGAGTTGTGCATTGTTTCAGTGTTGTAATGGGATGTGTTTGTTGTTTGTTTCCACAGTGGAGTCGAGCAGCCCTAGTCTTCTGTCGCCGGATAACACTCTAGAACGTTCCTTCTTTATCCGAATGAAGTCCACACTCACCAAGAGAGGCGTCCACATCAAGTCTTCTGGATACAAGGTAAAACTGCTCGTCGTGTTCTCAAAGAAATGAAAACTCACTTCAGTCTCGTATCATATCGTGTGTCATAATTAGTGGTGGAGCTGACTGCGTGCATTGCTAAAATCTACTAAAACTCTATCTATGTTTGTTCTATGTTCGGATCTATGTTTGTTTAACATAAAAAAAATATGTGGAACCTGTTGATGAAAAAAAATTAATTGGTCAACATATCAGTTTTGAGTCTATATTGGATCTGTGCATAAGCTCTTAAAGTGTCACCAGCCTAATACATTTTAAAGGGTTTTGTGTGAATTTTATTAAATCTTATTAGACTAAATAAATGAATCATTTTATTCAGCAAGTATGCGTTACCAAGATTTCGGAAGTTTCACCTTTCACTAAACATATTTAGATATGTCGAAATCATCTTCCATTGCGTTTTCCTGTATATCTAAATATGTTTAGATCTTCACAGTGAAAGGTAAAAATTACGAAATCTCTGTGTAAACACTGAGTGACGTACACACGCAAACGATCACTTCTGGCGCATACGCAGACCCAAGCGCCCGTGCCGTCAGATCAGTTGGACATGGCTGTGGTTACAAGAGGTAAAACGATATAAATACTGTTTTTTTTCTCACACAAACCGCTCGTTTCGTGTCTTAGGCCATCAATGTGTACTTACATTTACGAGTCATTAAATCACGTTTAATTTGTGAATGCTCTTAAGAGGTGAACCGAGGGTGGACCCCCTAAACCTGCATTATATGACTGACAGACAACAACGGTTTGACCGAAAAATATTAAAATGGAAAATACTGTTGAAACAAAGACACCTACATTTTGGATGCCCTTGACGTAAGCTAAAACATATCAAATTTTAATTTCAAAATGAACTATCCCTTTAATTTGACTGTGTTCAATCTGCTTAAATATATGTAAAATTAAGTTTGTAAATTGTAAGCATTAATCTGTATTTGAAAACTATCCGGTGTTATTTTACATTTGATTACTTTCATTACCGTAGTATTTCCAGCCCGTTCTCATCCTTTAACGTCATATAGAACGCTATATGCAAAAACGGCGCTATACTACGCACATGGCACCCTTTATCGTTAATATAACACGCGAACCCAAGACGTTATAAATCCTTTAGCGTGAATATGACACGCACACCCTACCCCACACCTAAACTTAGCCCTCACAGCACGTGTTATATTAACGATAACGGGTGCCATGTGCGTAGTATAGCGCCGTTTTGTCATATAGCGTTCTATATGACGTTAAAGGATGAGAATGCGTTGGTATTTCTTACCTGAATGTACTCTAAGACCCTCCTGAAAAACCTAATTATCATTTGCTATTTGTTTTTATTTTACAACTGACAGTTTACTTTTGAGAATTTTGAGATTTTTTTTTTTTTTGAGAATTATGAGATAATAATAAACATGTCTGTTTCGCTGTTTGTATCAAAAATTCGAAAGTTAGAAATTCCAGTATTGTGACACTACTTCAGAGTCAATCAGATTGTAAATAGAGAAGTGAGTGAACGACTGAGATCCAAACCCCCCCGCTGCATCCATCTGGACATAGATTGGATGCAAATAAGCGTGAAGTCAGGGAGCCCGCTAACCCATAGCATAAATATTCACGCATGCACATTGGCATATATTACCAGCCAGACAAGGACACTTCTTATTGCATTTACTCCAAATTAAGTCAATATTTGTGTGTTGTTACATAATACAAAAGTATGAATTTTGCATACGACGCGCCAGCATTAGGTGATAGGTGCGAGGCGGAGGGAAGCGAAGCGCGGCCCGCATCATGGCTGTTTATATCTCCTCTTCACTCTGGAGGTCAAATCAAAGTAAATTCTTCGCCAGCTTAAACCAGTCTTTTCTTTTTTTGCCAAGACGTCTCGGCCCCCGGCTCAGTTAATGCACTCATGTAAAAGCTCTCTATCATTACTTGTGCCGTATCGCATTTCAAAAGCACTCCAGAGAATCCCTAGGAACAGATGAATCTTATTTCTTATGTATACCTATTCTATATTCACCGACCCGGTGACGGGCGGGGGAGAGAAAGAGAGAGAGCATTGTGTGCTGAACCATGAATTATAAAAATTGATCCCTTTGTTATGTTGGCTTGTATTAAATTGAGATATGCTATGCGGCTGCCTCTCGCAGCGGCCGCGGTGAACCCTTGCCATGTCAGTTTGCATTTAGCAGCCTGAGCATATTTAATGTTTTGCCAGAGCTTATGATGTTCTTGCCAAGAGCACTCCTGCAGCAATTCACCGACGAGCCTCTCTTTGTGGCAATTACTTCAAAAGTTGTATTTTCCAACTAACTTTTTGATGCCCCCCCCCACCGGCTTTGGGCTTCAGTAGAATCATTTCCATTTTGTAATACTTTTAATACAACTCAGTGTTTATTTATTGAAAGATCCAGTGTTATATATAAGTGGATATAGATGTGTATTCTGGAGGCGGCGTGTGTTTTGTGTGGGCTGGCGCTCTCTGGTGTGCCACTGTTTATGAGAATTCGTGCATGGGTTTGATATCGGACATAATTGGACATCACCTTCTGATCGCAGCGTGCCGTGATGTCTTATTGAAGCTCGGCAACAGCTGATGCTCGCTCGCGTCGTCATCGAAGACCTGAGACAAACACTCATTTCTCTAAGAATACCTATTCAACAAGTTTCAAAACTGTTGCATGCTGTTTTTATGACCAGCTCTTAGTTGAGATATTACATGAAAAATGGTTGGAAATGTATACAAATATAGAAAAGAAAATGTATATGTTAGTTCACCATTTTTTTTTATAACATTAATAACTCTTCTCTCGGCATTCGGCACTGTTCACATTTGGAGGGGGGATTCTCCTCAACCACCACCATTAAAGGAGAACTCCGGCGAACAATTAACCTTTGGTCTAATAAAACATCGGTACCTAGTCAATCGTTCTCTGAGATTTGTTTTCATGATAATCGAATGTAAAGAGTTTTATCTCTTAAAACTGTTTAGCGTATAATGCTAGTAATGGGGGCATTGAGTAAGTAAAAAGAAATCGCTAGTTTATACCACTAACAAGGCTCAAAATAGCCCCACACTCACACAGTAATATAATGAGGCTCCATACATGCAAAACGAAGCATTGAGAACTTTGTAAGTGTACAGACCGTTTAATAAGAAGACACTTTATGAAGACAGTTCACTTCACGTATACAGACAGGCACCATCTTAAAAAATAGTCTCGATAAGTCGATCCCCGAACGCTGTTCATACAGTTCAGAAGTTTGTTGAACTTCATACAGTTCAGATCACTCAGCACGACGTTCGTGGTTTGACTTATCGAGACTATTTTTTAAGATGGCTCCTGTCTGTATACATGAAGTAAACTGTCTTCATAAAGTGTCTTCTTATTAAACGGTCTGTACACCTACAAAGTTCTCAATGCTTCGTTTTGCATGTATGGAGCCTCATTATGTTACTGCGTGAGTGTGGGGCTATTTTGAGCCTTGTTAGTGGTATAAACTAGCGATTTCTTTTTACTTACTCAATGCCCCCATTACTAGCATTATACGCTAAACAGTTTTTAGAGATAAAACTCTTTACATTCGATTATCATGAAAACAAATCTCAGAGAACGGTTGACTATGTACCGATGTTTTGGTTCATTGTTCGCCGGAGTTCTCCTTTAAAGGGTTAGTTCACCCAAAACGGAAAATTGTCATTAATTTCTCATCCTCATGTCGATCCAAACCCATAAGACTTTCGTTCATCTTCTGAACATAAATTAAGATGTTTTTGATATACAAAAGTGGATACTCCACTTTTTTTCTTTTTTTCTTTTTTTTTTTGGAAATAGGCTCATTTTACAACTCCCCCAAAGTTAAACAGTTGAGTTTCACCGTTTTCAAATGAATTCAGACGATTTTCTGATATTTAGAAGAATATCAGTAACCAGAAAGTTTCTGGTCTCATTGACTTCCATAGTAGGAAAAAAATATACTACGGAAGTCAATGAGACCAGAAAGTGTCTGGTTACTGATATTCTTCTAAATATCAGAAAATCGTCTGAATGGATTCGAAAATGGTAAAACTCAACTGTTTAACACTGGGGGAGTGGTAAAATGAGCCTATTTCCAAAAAAAAGTGGAGTATCCCTTTAATAGAGGGACAGAAAGCTCTTAGATTTCATCAAAAATGGATGAATGTCTTGTGAGTTTAAAATGACATGAGGGTGAGAAATTGTTAACCCTTTCAACCACCTAAAATCTAGAAAACAAAAGGTCATGACTGTTATTTGTCTGCTATTCAGCTACTAATTCTGGAGAACTTTAGCGAGATAAAAATTCTAATTTTTGTTATTCTGACAAAATATTTGTATTAAAATAAAAAAAACACAAAATGTAAGCTCAAATTAAACTGGGACAGATGTGACATCAATGAACTTTGCAGTCATCTTTAATTGGCGCCTGATTCGAGATGGCTTTTGAATTCTGTGAAGTTCGAACAAACTCTCTCAACTCCAAACCAGGAGAATCACTCTTTTTTAGTGACTGTGGCAGTCCGTCGTTCCTGGGGTTTGGGTTTGCTTGTCCCTCAGCGGAAAAACATACAAAGCATCAAAGAGCCCCGCCGGCCTGAGCACTCGGTGACTTCGGGGCCCAGACTGTCTATATGAATGATGCTAATAGCATCTCACCAATCTCTGAGGTGAACCAATGAAAGGATAGTGTCAGAAGTTTAAAACACTACAAAAACAATCCCCTCCAGGTTTCTCTTGGTGATTAAAATGGATGGATCCAAAAAAGAACATCGTTACCAATCTAGTCAATGCATCCTCTGGGCAAAACGTGCTACAAAAGACTTTAAAGCATTACAAACTTTAAAGCCAGAGAAAAAGTAATTAGTTGCTCTGCCTTTGTTATCTTCAGAAAGAAATTGAGCTTTGTGTTTTTTTTTTTATATTTCGTGAACATGTATATCTGCTACGAATCTTGGTCAAGTGTATACTATAGTGCACAGAGTACATGTTGGATTACCAAACAGCTTTGTCTGTTTTCTGAGTTCAGCCTGCTTTAAAATGGAGGTGGATAAAGATCGGTTGGCCATTTTTTATACTGGCCATGTTCTCTGATCCGTGTAGAGAAGGACTGCGGAGGTTATTTGACTTCATCTGGTTTATTTTATCTTTATACTGTGGTTTGATACTTACTAAAGGGTTTGTGTGTAATTGAGGGGACGATTGCATTTGATCTGTTCGTAATTTTCCGCCTTGTGTCCTCTTCAAGGTCATCCACGTTACCGGCAGGCTGCGGATAAGAATGGCATTAACACACAGTCGTTCGGTACCCAATCAAATCATGGGCATGGTCGTGGTGGCACACGCACTTCCTCCGCCAACCATCAACGAGGTTCGGATCGACTGCCAGATGTTTGTCACACGGGTCAACATGGATCTCAACATCGTCTACTGTGAAAACAGGTAACACTCTTTATATAATACGTTCAGTCCAGTGATGTCATTTCATGTTGACTAAAGACGGCAACAATTTCGTTTTATTTTTGCAAAGCTTATACTGTATGTATTGCCTATTATAGTGTGCAGTTTGATTTAAGAGATTTTTTCATCCGCCTTAAAGAATGATAAATGGTGCAAAAAGAATTTCAATTTCAGCTGCTTAGAGTCCAAAATATGACATTGTTGTAGAACTGAAGGATCAGCGTGTGAAGATGTGTTTTGCAAGAGTGGATAATCAGCCACACAGTAATGTTCATGTGCAGTTCATTATAGAGCTGATAGTGATGAGTTCTGCTTTAACGCAATCCCACAGTGACCTTGTTTCAACATCTATCGCTCATTTTAAGAAGCTGGCCAAGAAAAAAACCCTCTTTTGTACTTACAAAACATCTGTGGTTCCACTGCTGCCCCATAAAATGAGAACATCTTAATTTGGCCTGGCTTGAAAGGAAATATCATATTAGTTTTATTAGTTTTATTTATATCTCTGGGATTGAAGTCCTCCCAGCGTCTGCTAAAATTTTTACCACTCCCCTGCACTTAACATATTTATGAGAGAATGGAGTCGGGCCAAGTCTATAGCGGAGTTATCATCACAGCAAAAGCCTGCTTTAAAATGGAGGGTGATAGAGATCGGTTAGCCAGGGTTTTTTTTATACTGGCCATGTTCTCTGATCCGTGTAGAGAAGGACTGCAGGTTAGAGTCAAATAAAGTCTTGAAATACGCTGCTAATAGTATTTGCCCTACTGAAAGGCATTTTGTATGGTTTTAACCACCTGTTTTTATCAAATTTTCAATACTTCTGTGATTATTGCTTTTAGATTCAACAAGCAGTTGGTAAAGCTACAGTAGGTCAGAAAATATTACGTCTATAATGAAAACAGGCTGACAGCTTGCCATCACAGATGGAAACCTTTTTAATGAATAAAATCTGGTGCACTATACATTTAGCTTACAGAAGTTCAGGGGAAATCGGAAGCTGCGTTTTCATTACCCTTATGCCCAATGGAAACACGTCAATTGCTCAAAAACTCCCATATAATCGCAAAAACGTTTGTACTTCGAGCACTGTAAAAAAATATTTTCAAGATTTGTTGTCACAACATTTTTTCTTTTGTCAAATCAACTTAAATAATTTTTTTAGTTGAGATAACTTATTATTTTGAGTTTCTGATGATTAAATTAATCTCCTTCATTGTATTAACTCACTTTTTCCAGTTAAATCAACTTAAAATTTTAAGGCAACCAGGTTACTTACTTTTTTAAGTTAAACCAACAATATTTTTTTACAGTGTACTTTTTAGCGTTTTTTCACAGGAAAAAAGATGTGATGAAGGAAGATGAGACTTATTAAACTCATTAAAGACAAAAGAATTACTGGAGTACTGGATTCTAAACAACAAAGAAATGCCACAATTTATTCAGACCTTGAAGCAGATAGGAGGAAATAATACCCAGAAACAGCTCGTATGTGCTGCTCCAAAGTATAAGTGGCTTTTTTTTTTTTTCGCCATTAAAAGGGTCATTGGATGCCCATTTTCCACAAGTTGGTATGATTCTTTTGGGTCTTCATGTAACAGTTTTAAACATACTTTGGTTAAAATTCCTCAATGGTTGTGTAAAACAACACCCTTTTTACCTCCTCAATAACAGCTCTGTTCACAGCAACCCATTTTGTTGCATGTCTCTTTAAATGATAATAAGCAACTGCTTACCCCACCCCTCTCTTCCATGGGGGTTGTCACACAAAACACATAAAGTGCTTCCTTGGCAACCTGCCTTGGTGGACAGTATACAGATGGCTGAGGCCCCATTTACACAATGGGAAAACGCAGATATTTCTCCCCTCTCATTTACACGAAAATGCCGTTTTTATCACAGAAAACGATTATTTCTAAAAACTCCGGCCAAAAGTGGAGATTTCTGAAAACGCCGGTTATGTATTGTCGTGTGAACTGGGAGAAACGGCGTTTTAGGTTCTCTCTTGTCGATTCTGAGGATTCTGATTGGCTTGAATGGCTTTATCCTTAACCCCTACACTGCCGCCAATAGGTTTGGCATAGTTATGATGGCGCTCGACGGCGTATTTATGCGGGTGTGTAAACGATGTTATTTTTGAAAACGGAGAGGGGGAAAATATTCGTTTTGCTAAATACCCGGTTTTGTGTAAACGTGGCCTGAGGGTGGAAATATGCTAATACGGGACAGTCCATCAGTGGTCGTGGGCGGAGCATGAGCAATATGATATCATATTGCTCAAAAAATCCAAACGGCTTGATTGTTGGGCGTGTTTAGACTTTTTGAGGATAAAAAAGGAGTGAATGGATTTTTTTCATTGTATGGTGGTTGTGTCCACACACTGCAAAGACACATTTATATTCAAACACCATATAAAAGTGAATTTTGCATCCGATGACCCCTTTAATGCTTCTGCTTCCATTAAAAACAATGGCTAGTGCGGTGCCAACATGCGTGCTATGATTATTGGAATGACTATTTGTTGTTGTTTAGCTCCTTAACATCAGTTAATGGTAACGCAGTCATTTCGCAATAGTTTCTCCAACATTTAGAAAATATCGCAAAAGTTTGCAGATCTGTAATGGAAACCAGGCTAGTGAGATTGACTCGAAACCAATCAGGGCAGCATTTCCCTAAGTAGATCATAAAACCATTGCCACCAATGGTCTCTATAATCAATTTGGCCCACAATGCTTTTGGGAAACGCAGCCCATGTCGTTGCCCTATTTTAATCTGTCATTGACAAGGATATGATAACCCACAGTAATATCTGTTTGGCTTTTTTTTGGTGGACTGCTCAACTCTGCAAAATGATGTAGCCACTGGCATTATTGGATCAGAAAAGTTCTGACAAATAGCTAATATACTATTATAATTTGCTACTGCTAATGCTTAATGGTGATTTGTGGGTGAACATTGAAGTCAACATGAATTGCCAATCACACACCTTTTCCTGGAATGTGTTGCATTGTAGAAACAAGCTTTTCAATGCACAACAAAAAGTCTTGTTTTAAAGGAGAACTCCGGCGCGAAATGAACTTTTGGTCTAATTACACATTGTTACCTAGTCGACCGTTCTCTGAGATTTGTTTTAATGATTGCCGAATGTAAATAGTTTTATCTATAAAGACAGTTTAGCCTATAACGCTAGTATAACGCTAGTATATAGGGCATTGAGTAATGACAAATAAAAATCGCTTGTTATTACCACTAACAAGGCTCAAAATAGTCCCACACTAACACGGTAGCATAATAAGGGTCCCTACATTCAAACCGAAGCATTGAGAACTTTGTCAGTGTCCATACAGTTTAAAAAGAAGATATTTTATACACTCAGTCAACTTCGCGAATACAGGAAGAAGCTATCTTTGAAAAATAGTCTCTACCAGTCGATCTACGAACGCCGATCCAAGTGCGCTGGTGAGATGTGAATAAGGTGATAAGGTGAGCGCGAACAGTAGTCTACATGTACATATTGAAGAAAAGAAAAAGGTTCGTGTTTGTGTTTCTTCTGGAAACAACGGAACATATGAGATTCTGCACAGTTCAGCGCACTTGGATCGGCGTTCGTAGATCGACTGGTAGAGACTAAAGATGGCTTCTTCCTGTATTCGCGAAGCTGACTGTGTGTATAAAATATCTTCTTAGTAAACTGCATCGACACTGACAAAGTTCTCAATGCTTCGGTTTGAATGTAGGGACCCTTGTTATGCTGTCGTGTTAGTGTGGGGCTATTTTGAGCCTTGTTAGTGGTAATAACAAGCGATTTTTATTTGTCATTACTCTTTGCCCTATATACTAGCGTTATAGGCTAAACTGTTTTTATAGATAAAACTATTTACATTCTGCAATCATGAAAACAAATCTCAGATAACGGTCGACTAGGTAACTATGTGTAATTAGACCAAAGGTTCATTTTGCGCCGGAGTTCTCCTTTAAGCGCCTAATGAATCGAACTGCTTAAAAATAGTGGGAAAAAAACAAAATTTTGTCAATATTGATTTAATGTTGAAATGATCCTTTCCAGAATCAGCGACTACATGGACCTGACACCTGTGGACATTGTAGGGAAAAGATGTTATCACTTCATTCACGCAGAGGACGTGGAAGGCATTCGGCAAAGCCATTTAGACCGTGAGTATCCATCCAATCAATCTGTGCAGCCACACAACAGTGCCAAAAACTACAGGATGGTTGTTAAAGAGCAAGATTCAGTGTCCTTACATGCTTTAGCGGGACTCATTGATCATTGGTCAATGACATCCTGAGAGCACACCGTGTTACGTGCCAAAGCTGGTGTAATGTGTTCACTGCAGCACTTCAGCGTAATGGGACATCAGCGTGACAGGCAAGATTATCCATGCTAGTGGTTCTTCTCATAACTGTCCACGAAGAACCGCTTGCCTCTGCCAGACGGGTAGGCGAACGCACGTCTTCCAAACAAGCCCCATATCGCTTGCAAGGCACAGAACGCGGCTGAGAATCTCTGTTCGTTTGACATTACACATCTTACACATTTCACTCCTCCTTTCAGCTTTGGTTGCTCCTCTCAATGCACAGTCGCCACATTTCGAGTGCATTTTTATGTCATGTAGTATTCATCTGGGCCGATCCACCACTGCAGAGCTCTTTGAAGGTTTCTCAACCTTTTGCACGCGCCGCTTTCATCGTGCTCGGCAGGAGGGCCGCTGACCGTCTGGAGGAACGTTCATGCTCCTTGAATATCTTAAATCATCTGTTAAGTGTGTTTTGGCAGCACACCTTTTCCGCTCCCCTCTACCACCATGGCAGAAATTCAAAGCGTCATTGAGAGCGGCGTAGCGTTTCATACAGTAAATGTGTGTGCTGCTCTACAGCAGGCAGGTTGCCATTATTTAAGTAGTGAGGGTTGAGGCACAGGAAGAGGAGGAGGAGGAGGGGGATAAATCCCTCGTTTTATTAGGTGTTTGCAGAGGAGGGTGGGTGTCCTTGGGGCTGGCAAGGGAATTTGGAGCTGTCTGATTAGATATTGGGAGTTCAACTGAATTAGAGCGCAATTACCACTGTATTGCACTGTCCCTTTGCCTTAAAAAGCCACCAGATTGGGTCCATTAGACCTTGATTTGAAACCCAGCGGAGGCAGAGGAGAGAGGACTGAAGCCCTGGATTGCATTGATAGCGGAGAGAGAGAAAGAGATGGCGTGAAAGGAGAGAGAGATGAATCCGCACTAAGAGAGAACTGCACATCCCCAGCTACCTCTGGCTTTCTAACCATCTATTACGCATTAGCGTGACGGCAATCAACATAAATCTAGCCGCACTGTGAATGACCGTTCACGTCGCTGCAGTAGAGAGTGGATGGGGATGCCGTTTCTGCATTTTACTTTGTACGTTTATGCTCGATGTGATGAAATGCTGGTTGAATCATTGTTGGAATTTTTTTGTAATCTACTCAACAACTTTTCAAAGAAAAATCATATTTTGTTAGTTATCAGCATCTTTGTTCAAATAAATGACCGTAAGATATATTTAGATCTGAATCGATCTCAATTTGAGCAGAAACGTTTAAACCAAATACTGTTTGAAATTAAGATTTACCATAATTTAAGATACAGTTTTATTATTGTTAATTATTCATGTTGTCACACTACCTACTTGCTACTTTTAGTTTCATTCCCCAACACAGGTTAAATGCATTATAATGACGTGCGTGTCAGAGCCAGATAGTCACAGACGCGCGTGACTAAGGAGCAGATACAGTGATCTCCCGCTGATTGCTAATCAGACACTGATATCAGATCACACATGGCCATCAGATTGGGTAGAGCCGGGGATAAGAGGGATGGTGTCAGTCTGGTCAAACCTCTCGACAGGTCTGTGCCGCAGATGCAGTGACGTGTGCGGTCCTTTGGCTTGAGTGCATGCATGTGGTGGTGTTCTTAATGTGTTGGGTTGTATACGCATATTTGGAGGTCATAGGCCCACTGATCAAGTGTTTAAGGGCCTGATAAAGCATTTAGAGCTGATCTGTTTAAATTGAGCACCTTGACCTACAGTTGCTAAAAGAGTTGTTTATGCTCCTATATAAAATGGGAAGTTCAGACAAGATTCTAATCTTCAAAGTGGTTAAAGTCTTCTAAGGAGTGTAATTTGCAGATTTTTAGCAAATTAGCAGAATAATTGTTTATTAATATTTATATTAAAGGAGTAGTTCACTTAAAAAAAAACTTTTGCTGATAATTTACTCACCCCCGTGTCATCCAAGATGTCCATGTCTTTCTTTCTTCAGTCGAAAAGAAATTAAGGTTTTTGATGAAAACATTCCAGGATTTTCTCCATATAAATGGACTTCACTGGGTACCAGACGGTTCAAGGTCCAAATGACAGTTTCAGTGCAGCTTTAAACAACACCAGACAATGAATAAGGGTCTTAACTAGCGAAAGCACAAATGCTTGCCTTGCTCTGTTCTGTGATGCACGTTTGTGACTCTCCTGTTCGAACTCGTTCATCAAAATGAACGAATCCTTTGAGTCATTTGGTTCATTCAATGAATGAAATGACTCAGAAAAAGATTTGTTCATTTTAAACTCGTATTTGGACCTTGAACCGTTTGGTGCCCAATGAAGTCCATTTTATGGAGAAAAATCCTGTAATGTTTTCATCAAAAACCTTCATTTCTTTTCGACTAGACATGGACATCTTGGATGACATGGGGGCCAGCAAAAGTTTTTTCTTAAGTGAACTAATCCTTTAATTTATTTCATATTGCCATTACAGCCATTTTATAAAAGCAATAACAAGGTTGTGCATAACAGTGGTTTTAAATAAAAAGTTCTGTCATGAAATTCTAGAATGAATGGGAGTCTATGGGGCTAAACGGCTAAATGTGTCTTTCTCCTGCTTGTCGTTAAATCAACATAGATTGTATTGTTGATTCCGCAAGTTCAATATAGATTATTATAGGCCAAAAGTCGAATGAACGAGTACTAATGTTCTTTTGATTTCTTACAAGTTAGGCTGTTGTTAGCTGGAACACGCTAGCATTACTATTGTGTGACGTCATCACATTTTTGAACGGATTTTTAGAACAGATAAGTGAACTTAAAAATGAAATTTTCAGCTGAGTGTATTATCTTAGCCCTCCCTTTTGAATGCAACTTTCAAATTACTTGACAAAAAATTACATCCTGAGAAAAGTGGATTTCTGGGGGTGAAACCCCATTGACTCCCATTCTTTCTGCCCTCGACCGCGAGCGCCCCCGCATGGACAGAGACGCGTTACTGCAGCCAGTCCAGAACCCGGAAGTAACCAGCCAGTGCCAATTCTCTTCAATTAGACATTCTCTGCTCAAACTACTATCACATGATTCTCTGAAGGGCACAGCTGATTGGTTCCTGCTGTAGCAGTAGCCAATGAGTGCACATGCTCAACCTTCAAATACTTTGGTAGCATTTCCGGTAGCGTTTGCTGTACGCTTTCAAAATCCCTCCATGTTCCACCTGTATAGACCATTTCACAAGATGTAAACAACACTGGTCCAGAAGCACTTCCTGTTTCAGTTTTTTAACTCTACATAAAAGCTGGGATAAAATACAACCAACAGAAAATATAAAACTGAAAACTGAGTTAAACAAACATCTTTAAGATGTTTTCTTTACATGTGAAATAAAGAAAACAGTTACAAACTGAAACAGGAAGTATTTCTGGACCAGTGTTGTTTACATCTTGCAAAATGGTCTAGAGATTTGGTTAATTCATGTGTACAACAGCAGCCTGTCATGTATGTACTGGCAAAAGACTTGAACTTTCTCTGCAGCAGGTCTATTCTGCCATGAGACCAAACATATCAATATTGTTATACCCATGCAAAACACTCAGAGAGTTGTCATGACAGAACTACAGTTAAGGTAAATCACTGTGCTTCTTACTACTTTTAGGACCTATTTGAGCTTTATAACTGGATAAAAAGACTTTTAGTTTATTGAAGGAAAATTAGAAAGCCGACTGTGGTGCTCACCAAGCATTTGAGAGCAGGTATTTTATATTGGTAGAAATGCATTGTGACAGTTCTGACCTCACCTGTGTCAGCTTCAGAACAGGACCAACACGGCTTAAATTAATAAAAGACACTGTGTTACACGACTACGTCTAATACTCACCGCATAAATGCTCCGTGGGTGTGGGTGTGTATGTTTTTACCAGCTGAGAAAGAGCAAGAGAGAGAGACAGAGGTGGGAAACGATGGCTCACAGAAGTGTGGAGAAACCCCAGGAGACTGAAGCTCTGTGCCTGAAGGCAGACTACAAGAGCCGGTCTCTGAAGAGTAGTTCAAACTGACTTTAATGAAAAACTCCCTTCACTCCTTATTGTGCTTGAAGATAGACTCCACAGCTGCGGAAAAATACACCTGCTCTAACACCCATCGCATGTACCGTCGACAATGTTTCTTCAGTTTTCTTCCATAATGGATTCAGAGTAAATATGAAATAGAGGTTTCTGTATCCATGGATATATTCTGTATTTACGTCAGCAGTGATTCATTTGAATGTAATGTAATTGTAATTAGTTTGCACCAGTTTAGCCAAGGTTGTCAACTAGTTTGACTTCTGGTTAGACCAGCATTCTCAACCAGCACATGGTCTTAAAAAGACAGCTAGAATTTCGGATTTTATAACACTAGGAAATCTTTAAAACCAGCAGATGATTGCATCTTTACTTGTTGTTATTCTAAATGCCTCGAAAGTGGTCGCAATTTCACTTCTCGCCGTTTCTATAAATGGCCAACATGTTTACTTCCTCTTCTGGTGAAGATTCGCCATTAAATCCAAAGAATACAAGTTAAAAACCTCCAATTCACTTGTCCAGCCGAACCCTGCCAAGGTGCCGCAGATCTGCATGTCTGCTCTCTCATTCATAAAAGGCTTGTCTTTACAATAATACCCCAGTGGACTGCAAGGACTTTTCCATAACGCAATTTCACGGGTGTAAATTACTTACTTTTATATGACAGTGACACCCTCCACCCCTCCTGCTGGAAGTGAGGCCACGCTGGGTAAAGGGTATCTGAAAGGTAGCTGCTATTATGGAAGGGATCCAAGTGATTTAACAGAACTGAAGGACAGAGGCCCTGGTGCAGAGAGAGATAGAACGAGAAAGAACGGAAGTAGAGAGAGAGAGAGGCCGTCCTGCAGGCTTGCCCGAGGCTCCAGGAGAAAGCAGGCAGATTAAAGAGGCCGTATTCCTTTTAAAGCCTCCAAAAGCAGCCAACGACTCCTGCACCGGAAAAAAAGAAAAGAAAAGAGGGATACAGAAAGAGAAGAGCGAGGAGGGGGGGAGAGAGAAAGGGGTGGCTTCATTACCACTAAATCAATAACTCAAGCAGCCCCTGATTGATTTAATGGCAGCGTAACTGAAAGGGGGTTAAAAAATAAGCCTCACCTGTACAGACGTGGTGCCGGGTGGAGCCGAGGGGGCCGGCACATCAAATGCGATGCAGATGAGATCAGGTTTAAAGGCAGAGGGGAAAATGTCCTGGAAACTTGTAGACAGTAATGAGGGTTTAAAGGGACCGCTCATAGATAGAAGAGGGATGGGATCACTGGATATGTATGATCAGATTTAATATACTGAAACAACCCGGTCTCATCCCAAGACGTCATATAACTGACGTTTTGGGACGTCTTTTGACCATACGTCAATATTCGCCTTTTTAGGGCCCCCTTAAACGTCGGTAGATGAGGTTATGGGATCCTAACTCTACCCCAGACCTAAACCTAACCCTAAACCTAACTGACGTTAAAGGTAAAGTGTCAGTTGTATGACAGCCCGGGATCGCCATCTACCGACATTTAAGGGGGCCCTAAAAAGGCGGATATTGACGTATGGTCAAAAGACGTCCCAAGACGTCAGTTATATGACTTTTTGGGATGAGACTGTGTTAACTGAAACTGTATAATACTTAATGTACATTACTGGCACATCCATCTATCTATCACTAGCTAATTTCAATAGAAAAAAAGTTAATTTTATCATCAGTTCTGTCATTTCACATGCAAAATATTATGGGTTTTTTTTAGAATGCTTAGATGCATTCCATGTGTACTGAACACTTCCAATGTAAACTTTGTTGAAGAGAATGAAGGTGAGTCAAGGACATGCCCACTGGCCACAGTGAACAAGTCAGATAAACAACTCGTGGCTTTTTGTCTCAATTTTCTGGAGTTACAGCTTAAGTTTTACATTTATTGGTACAGAAAGCAGTCGGTGAACTAAAGTCAATTATCAGAGCCTTTGGGACAGCTTCTTAAACAATGCCATTAGTCTGTAATGATTTTAATTACTAGACTTATTCTTTTATAAATCATTCTTCTCAATGGACTCTTTTTTTATGGAAAAGGCTATTTGTAGCTGTAATTAAACCCAGAATCTGAATTTACTGCCGTGCTTGGATTCCGACTGTTTCTGTTGTGCAGAACAATGATTAATGCAAATTCATATTATTTGAGATCACCATTTAGCGCTTAATTTAGCCAAAATTATGGCAACTGCCACAGTGTCTTCACATGAGTAGCCTCAGACAAGGACACAATTACAGAGCCCTTAGCAAACAGTCACAGCACCCTCTGCTGGGCTTTGGAGATTAATAATGCTCCCGATATTTCACAGAGAATGAAATAATGGATAGGTTTGAGCTTTACCTGGGCACACTAAATGCAAATATTTTGATTATCATTAGTTGTTGTTGTAATTAAACCTGAGTATATGTATTGCTGTAAACGTTTGAAAACTTAATTAAGCAGTCTCATTTCATATTACAATGTTCACAGGTTTATTCCCTTTTTTCCTCTTCTTGTATCATCTCCTCTTTCTATAGTAATGAATAAAGGTCAAAGTGTGACAAAGTATTACCGCTGGATTCAGAAGAATGGAGGTTATATCTGGATCCAGTCCAGTGCCACTATTGCAATCAACGCCAAGAACGCCAATGAAAAAAACATCATCTGGGTCAACTATGTACTGAGGTAGGCGAGTCTTTTACTTTGATGAAAATGCCATATCTTTAGATTTTGATTTGCTCCATCCGGCACTGTAACAAGATGAAAGTATTTCCCACTTGAGAGAGTTAGTAATAGTCTGCTCTTCTGTAAGATGACGAAGGCTAAACGCACCACTCTTCTCAAACTGCTTTTGGGTCTGTGTACGGGCTGAGAGACCATTAGAATGCTCTGTGGTTTGGGCCGTAGTGAATCAATCAGGATGTCTGGAACATTCTAGAGAAGAGAGTGAAGGATGTTTCATGTGGCTGTGAATGATTCTCAGCTGGCAAAGTGAATGACTTCTATCTTCTAAATGTGCCTTTTTATGTGGTTTCTTTTTTAATGGGCAGTAATCCCGAGTACAAAGATACACCTATGGACATTGCACAGCTGCCTAACCTGCCAGAGAAAGCATCAGAGTCCTCTGAAACATCTGATTCTGAATCCGACTCCAAGGAGAATTCAGGTAGCGTACCACTCTCGTCCCATTCCATTGCAAATTTGACACTATTTCCCACAAAACATTTCAGAATAAGTGGAAGGTTTGTTGGTTTGATCCCCACATGGAGCGAGCCCTAAACCCATTATTATGCTCTTGAGAAGGAGACTTAAAGCCAGTTCTTCTTGCTCCATGGTGGCTGTCCCATTTCATGGAACTGCAGGTAGTCTTCTAAAAAAAAAATACACATAAACACTATAGGGATGTTCGCCAGCGTCATATGTGACGTCACGAAATGGGCGTGGGCGCGAACTGGTTGCCAGAAAGAAACAAAACATACGCAGCAGTCTATGTGTTCTTTCAGCAAAATAATAATTCTTTGTATGAAAAAGCTAAAAGGAGATATAAGGTAAAGCTTTTATATAACCAGGGTTCATGTTCTATGCCTGATCCATATCGCCTGAGTGACAATTGGAGCAAAAGCCCTAACACATGGCCACATTTGACATTCGGCGATATCAACATCAACACGCCATCTACGTTTATCAGAGAGTCAATGAAGGCGTACAAATCTTCAGATGCCTATAAGTCATAATTACCAATATTACTTGTGTTAACTGGATAACTGGTAAATTTGTTACAACTAGAGTAAAATAGAGGTGTAATTTGTCCATGGGCTATATTTTGAATCAAAATGATCTTACCTCTGATATATAACATTGGTCAACATATACATAAAAATGTATCAAAGAAAATACAAAAATTTGCCCTTAATCGATAAGGGTGTGTACACAGATGATACACTGACTGTATAGTACCCAATCTTTGGGTTAAATTATGACTTTATAATACTGTGCGGTTTTCTGCCAACCAGAACACATGTAACCGCGTCGTGACGTCACAGGCGAAGATCCCTATATACACAACACACCTGTCTTTTAACCAAATGCAAATGTCTCGTCTGAGGGCTCTTATGGACTACTTGCACAACTATTTCCACATTCTACTTATTACATACCGGGAGTTTCCATTTCCAGTGTTCATCGCACGTCCATACATGAGAATGCAGATTATCACGTTTTATGGACGCCAATTGATTAAAATAATGAATAACGATCTCTGTATTAATTATCTTGAGCCAGCTGAAATGTTCCTATAAATATGTTTTCTTTCTAACTGTTCGATTCGGAATAATAAATAGGCTAAATATATTTATCCACTAACCTGCAGCAGTCTTCTGTCTTCTCAATAACAGCAGTATTAGCGTACTAATATTCTATACTTGAGTTTACATTTTTTAATGAATTTGACTAATAAAAAGTGTGCATTGGTGCTTTATTCCTGTCTTTTTAAAATAGTTTAATGACTGATTGAATGATCGCGAGGTGCCTACCTACGATCAGAATGCACGCAGCTAGAGGAGAATGACAGTCAACTACTCTGAATATTAATTAAGCATTTTGGGCATGAACATTTAATAGTAAAACGACATTGGAAAAACGACACTGAATGATTATTGATTACAATGTTTAATCCAAATAAATAAATGTTCGTGTTTCGTACTGATGTTTCAGCGTCGCGGTCACTAGTGTCGACGAACACTGACACCCTGTGGTGAAATAATGGCGTATTTTTAACAGCCGCAGCTTTCTCGGATTGACTTGGTTTGGATTTCCGATGAGTTTTGAAAATTCTGCACACGGTAAACATCAGAATATCCCTTCTTCTGTCAATAAAAACGTCCAAAATATAAAATCTTAGTACAGACACTCATTTTAGGTGGTGTTTGTTCTACTCATTGAACGCAGTACATTGAAAGTAAACATAACCGGAAATAAGTGATATAGTGTGCGTCGCGAAGCTCAGTGCAAGTAGTCCATTGTGTAAAATATCTTCATTCCAATAATTACTGGAAATTATGTAGGACAAGGAAATGTGGTGCTTTCGCCATGTCCCTAAAAACTGGTGTAAATAGTCAATTAAAACTCCACAGCCAGTTGGAGATATTAATTATACATTCCAAAAGAAGATGAAGTGAGATTCCAAAGATGGTGGAGGCTGTGAATGAACAAGGCCGTTTGACAGTCTGGGGAAAGTGCCAACATATTGGCCCCTGAGCATCTCTGCCTGCAGAGCCTTTTGCCAGCCTTCATCACAAAGGTTACAGACTGTGCCAGCTGCAGCTGGACCAAACCATGCCCTCTTCTCCTCTCAGACTCCCTACCCATCTCTACACCCCTCCTTCTCCTTCTGTCTTTTTCTGTCTCTTTATCTCTCTCCCTGTGTTTCTCTTCCAATGCAGACATGCTTTTCCTAAGGCCAGAATTTCCAATTCCCCCCCATCAAGGTCACTTGTTCTGAACAGAATTCGAGCCTTTCATGACAAAACTAATGATACAACACAAGTCACCAGTGGCTAATGCTGCAGCCAAAACAAAGAACCTGGTGTCCTGTTCATACTCTCCCAACTATCAAAGCATTAATAAATACCCTTATTGTAAACGTCTTAATCATGTTTAGTGAACTATGGTTCTTGTGCAAGGTACTGATGAACTTTGACATGATGAGGTGAAACTTGTCCTCTAAAGCTTTTTCTTTCTCCCAGAAGACAACGAAAACTCCAAGTCAGGTGGGAAGGGGAATCAATCTTCCGAGAACAGTGAAGATCCAGAGACGGACAGTAAGAAACAGACGGGCCGGCCGCCAGAGCAAGAGATGAGACGACAGGAGGAAGGGGACAGTTCCAGCAATCCAGAAAGTCAGGACAGTGATGATAGCTTGGAACCTTCTGACTGTGAAACCGACCACAAGGAGGGCCGCTTGGGTGGTTTACACATAAAGGTAGAGCGCTACGGTGACGGCGAGGTGGAGGAATTGCAAGACTCGCCTTCCTCTTGCTCCTCCTCCTCGGAAGAAGAAGAGGATGACGCAGAAGATATCGTGAAGGACTGCAGCAGCGGACGAGAGCTGAGCGGGCCGGCGATGAGTAAACACCAGAAGAGAAAGAAGAGGAGGAAAAAGCAGAAGTGGGATGATAGTCGCCAACGTCTCCGTCTGTCTCCCTCGGCGGCTGCCACCCCCAGCCCTGGCGGCCTGGACCCCACCCTCGGAGACCAGCCTCCCCTTCTGCTTCCACCCTCCCCGACCAGTTCCTCTGTGCTGAAGATCAAGACTGAGATGTCGGAACCGATAAACTTTGACAACGACAGCAGCATCTGGAACTACCCACCCAATCGAGAGATCTCCCGTAACGAGTCCCCCTACAGCATGACGAAACCCCACGACACCTTCCCGTCCCCCCCGCCCGCCGGCCTGCAGGTGTCCATTCCCGACTCCGTCCTCACTCCGCCTGGTGCTGAGGGTGGAGGAGGCAGCAGAAAGCCCAATTTCAATGGCAACAGTAGCGGCGGCAACAATAACAGCGCCCCCACCTCCGTGTCCAGCGCAACTCCAGGCAGCTTGGTTCTTCCTTCCAGTTCAACCTCCGCTGACCCGCTCTCCCCACCTCTCTCTGCCTCGCCACGGGACAAGCAGCAGGGTACGCCCACCTCCTCTGGTTCCCTGCTCTACACCAGTGATCTGGAAGCCCTGCAGAGGTTGCAAGCGGGAAATGTGGTGCTTCCATTGGTGCACAGAGTCACAGGAACGCTCGCCGCCACGAGCACGGCATCCCCACGAGTCTACACCACTGGAACGATCCGGTACGCCCCGGCAGATGTCAGCCTGGCCATGCAGGGCAACCTCCTGCCTAACGCCCACACCGCTGTGAACTTTGTCGATGGGCCCGGTTTCGGCATAGACCCCAAGACACCCATGGAGATGCTTTACCATCACGTGCACCGGCTCAACATGTCCACCCCCTTCGGGGCCGCAGTCAGCGGAGCCGGGCTCACGCAGATGCCTGCTGCTAACGTCTTCACCACAGCGGAGGGACTCTTCTCCACGCTTCCGTTTCCCGTCTACAGCAACGGCATCCACAACACACAGACTCTGGAGCGCAAGGAGGATTGAAGCAAAACATTGAGACCATATTACTGTGTTCAACTGTGTTAAAAAGACTCTTCTGAGGTAAAAAGACTGTGTATCAAAGTTGGGGAAAAGTGAGATGTTCTAGCACTTTGAATTTTGAGCAATTGAGCTTGTGTAACTGAAATGAATGGTTTCTCTTGCTGTGTCTTTCTATCTCTTCGACTTTCTCTTTCTTCTTTCTCGCCTCCTCACACAAGTTCTTGATGACGGTTTCTCTAAACGGACTAAACAGACTCATCTCTATTGTAAAGAGTTCCCTTCTGAGCCACAGGGAATTCATAGCACTGTGGCGTATGTCTTCTCTGGGGTGAAATATTTGTCCAGAGTTTCTAACATCCTCATTAGGATGTTTTAAAGGTATTAGCAAAAGAAAATTGACAAGAAAAGAAACGGTTCACGTTTCTAACGGTATCTTGATGTAATCGAGATTGATGCTGATAAAAGGATGTTACCCTATTTGATGTAGTTCAAAGGGTTTTAAGGTTCTTTCTAAAGGGGGAATAGTATTTTAGAAATAATGCTTTTTCTTCGTTTTTTTATAGCTCAACTTGCAAATCATGCATTTAAAAAAAAGCAATTTTAGCCGGGTATTGACCTGTGAATAGAATGTTACTATAAAATCCCAGGACATGGAACAGGTCAGCGTGAGATTTCTCCAGTTCCATCATCTTTTTTGCAGATCCATGGTGCTATCATTGAGTTACCCTCACTCAGCTGGCTGATGTAGGTACTGTTCTGGAACTCCAGACAAATGGCGGCTTCAGAGCTTTTTCTACAGAAAAGTCAAACATCTAACAGACTTCTTTTGTTATGATTGATTTTTATTATTATTATTATTATGTTCATCACTTACCTGTGAGCATGTGGTACATTGAGTATTTTAACTCAATCTGAATGAATCTGGAGAGAGGGATTCGCTAGAGTTTTTTTTTTTTTCTCAGTGCAACTGAGGCTAATTTTGCATCACAAACTTGAAGATGAATGTTAAACTCCAACAGGCTTAGGTCAGAGCTAATCTTAATTGTTTTGAGGATTTTTTTTTTTTTTTAATTATAAATGTTTGGCTTAATTGTTTACACTCCCTCTTTAGCTTACAAGCCTGGTTTCCTTTCGGAAATCAGTATCCCTTCATCCCTTACCCCTTAAACTCTCTCTAAAAATCACATATCAAGCAGAGATTGTAATAAGGACGTGCATTTTCAATCAAAAAATGATTTTTATCCACTGTTGCCAAAAAAACTACTCACAGTTTGGTGTTAAAACACTGTGATTTGATGTTTAAAAAAACAAAAGTAATAAAACGGAAGAAAACTGTCACTTCATCCTTTGACAGCCGTCCATCAAGTCATCTATTATGCAGCGTGATAACCGTAAACTTGTACAATGTGTAAGTGTCATTGGCTGTCAGTCTCCATAGCAACTTAAGTGTGTGTTACTATATGCAGTATATACTGAGCTAATGTAGCTGTTTTGTCCTTTGTCCTCTCTGTGCTAGTCCGGGCTTGGACGGGGAAACATTTGTTCTCCTTCCTGCCCCCTTGCAGTCTTAGTGAACCAGTGGAGGTTAGTGGATTTTGTGTGGTGGCCTTCCAATGTAGTGTCACCTTTTTTGCTGCTTCCTTTTTGTATGTATTACTTTTTTCTGTTTCTGCTATTGCTTTGCTGTTGTGTAGTCTACAGACCTCTCTTTCTCTTCTCAGAGATAAAAGACTCTAAACTAGCTCAAAGGTTTAAGGAGCCATTTTTTTTGCCACTGAGGTATTCTGGGATTGCAGTTTCCAGCCCAAACGTGATGAGGAATAAAAAAAAAATAAAAACCGAAGTAGCATTTAGCAGACTGGAACCTTAAAAGCCTCAGATGTGAAACATTCCCAGAGTCCCTTGGGCTTCTCTTGTGCATTGGGTGTATTTCATTGGTTTCCACCAAACCTGTTCAATGACCCTGCAACTCACAGGAAATAAAAAAAGGAAAAAAAAAAAGATGACAGTAGTATTTCAGGACAATAAACAATTTTAAAGATTTCTAAAGAGATGAAAAAAGTATTTCGCACTATAAAATCTATTTTTATAGGTGTTTTGGAAATGCATGTTTACTAAGTTGATTGTTTGGTTTACTTGATTTTGTTGGGTCCAGCGGCTTTGTCGATGTTTAGTGTTTTTTAGTCTGTCCGGCAAAGGGAAGGGGGGCCTTCGTCTTTTTACCTGAATCAGGCTTCCCCCCGACATCAGGAAACTTGTGTCTGTGGTTTCTGTGAAGACGTGTTGTTACTCAAACCCAGGTCATGATATTAATGTTTTTAAAAATGGCTGTCTGAGCGGTTGCAGTGGACCTTGGCGTCGCTGCTGCAGGTTAACAGGATCCTAGATTTTAGCATTTTGTACGTAGAGCAGAAGCGGTCAGGACGGGGGTTTGGGGACGGCTCCAAAAACAGACACTGTGGACCAGGAAATACACCCATATGTTACTAACAGAACAGCCGGGCGAGCTGTCTCAATGTATCTGTGTTGTGTCAAAATGATTGCTGGTGATTTACTCTTAAACTAATCTCAGCTGCTGTCAGATAAATAGTGTTTAAAATTACAATATGAGGAAATCACTTCATTTACCTGTGAAGACTGTGTCTGTGTTTTTAACTATTTCTTGTACAATTATACAGATTCTTTTATGAGGAACTTGGTGCCAAGTAGAAGAATATGGGAGAAAGGGGATTCTCTTAGTATCAGTGTTAACAGTGTTATAAATTCTAAGTACAAACAAATTAAAATATTAAAAAGAGAAAACTATGGTACATTTTGATTTTGTTTTGTTGTTTTCAGAGGAAAAAAAAGACAAAAAACAACTAACTGAAGCTAACTTTGAGTGCCTGGCTTATTTTTTTGGAAACACATTTTTTGTTCATTTACCATGAATAATGCTGCAATTCAAAAATGTACATACTTCATTTTACAACAGGGTTATTTTATACTTTTGTAGGTTTTCATCAGTTAAAGCGACATGTCATACATGGTTGTCTTTCTGTAACACAGTTTTTTTACCATCTTACAGGTGCCATATTCATAATAAACTTTTCTTGGATTTGTTACTATCTGGCATCATTTCTTTTACATTCTGTTCATCATAAGTGAATGCCGAACATCAATGATTATTCTTTGCGTTCCTACTTTCCTGCCTCTTTATGTTTGTTTGTTTTTTTCCTCCTATGTTTTTCTCCCGGTCTTCTTTAGTTTTGGCTAATGTAGTCAAAGCCTTTTTAGTTACCTACAGGTTTCAGGTAAGGGAATATCAAAATATTCCCATGTAGCCCTGCTGACTTTTGCTTCTACACACAATAAATCCAGTGAACTTGTACAAGGGCCGACATGTTTGAGCAGTCTCCTTTACGTTAGACAGATTCTCACGGGTATTTCTGATATGTTTCTCCACCTCACGGTATCTTCACCAGGTTTTCAATTAGCAGGAATATTTCAATCTGTCTCTTCTATTATACTGATCTCACTGTAACTTCCTACGGCAAAGCTAAATAAAAGGGGAAAATGCTTCCTTTAAAAAAAAAAGTGTTTTACTTTATAGATGTTTTTTCCACAATCTTTGAAACAAGTTTATTGATCAGATGTTGCTGAAACACCATTTTCAACCAAATTCATTTCCGTAATGTGATGAATTTCCAAGTGAAACAGGATATTCATAAAGAAAACCGGTTTGGAGTGAAGGGGTTTTATTTAATCCCTTGGAAATTGATTGGATTGTGCAAAGTGGACAAGGTTGGCTTTGAAAAAGGGTAAAAACAGAGTTTTTTCAGTGGCAGAATGAGCTATTTATTTTTTATGAAAGAAAGATTATGAAGATATTTCTCTCTTTGGAATAACATGCAGCAATATATTGTTCACAATGAGACCAGAAACACGCAAGAGGGTCAAGAGTCAATTTTGATTTCATGTTGACTTTATGTAACGAGTACGATTATTATTACAATTATTCATACCATTTCTTCAGCACTTGTATACTGTGCACGATAATGTTCGTGTTCCACAATGCAATGTGCTAGAATTGACCTCCAATTGTCATTCAGCATCGGAGTTATTTTTTATAAATGATTAAGCTGTGCACATCATTACCGTTTAAAAAATAATGTGTCCTGTAATCAAAATTACTTCCCCCCTCCCTCTTGCAGCATCATCTCTTCTCTTCTCTGACGATGTGTTTTACTGACTGAAGGCGGGGCAACCCGTCACTCACATGACCTAGTAAGCCTCAACCATCCCACCATCCAATCAATTCCACAACGGACAAAATCAAGTCCCGCCCTACATATTTTCTTGTTTGTGAAGCCGATTCACTCGGATCACATAGGGAAGAAAAGACTACTCCAACTTCCGCATCATCTGGGTATAAAATGCACTTTTTCTTTTTGAAATTTTCAGTGTTAAAACACTTACTATTATACTAAAAAATGGCAAAGAATCTTGCATATGTTTGCAAATTAGCATGCACATGGTTTTTAATTTCCAAGATAATAACTGGATGCCACCCACGTCACATAATGTTTGAAACACTTAGTGTAATACTACTAACACTTCACTTCTTTTTTAGACAGTACTGTATACTGTGCAGTATTCGGTATAGGCCTACATATAAGCTAGTGTTCCACTCTGAACACAGCTTTTGTTCAATGCTTAGTGACAGTGAAACTCGCTCTTCATTTTTTTCCTTCACAGTTTCTGTGTCTCGTATATACACCTTTCCTCTTTGCCCTGTTTTTCTCTCTTGTTCTTTCCCTTCTCCCTGCTGCATATCTGACTTCAGGCACTGAGGGGGAGGTCACCGCTGAAGCCCACTGAAGAAATCCAACCAACTTTAAATATTTTACGCTATTTTAAATGAAGCCCATGAATGATAGATCACAGGAGAGAAAGAGAGAGAGGAGGAGGTGAAAAAGCCCAAACCTGAATCCTCCCTAATGATTAGGAGCTGTCCATCTCCACCTATACAGTCCTTACTGGAGTTTATATAGCAAAGAGGCTCTTATTAGGGCAGTTACAGGTCCTTCAACACTTATATGAATATGAAATATGAACTGTCTCTCATCTACATATGATCAAAAGCAGGTTTTAAATGTGTTTGAGCAGAGGCAGGCATGGTTATATGGCAGATATAAACGAAGACAGGCATGGATGGATGGATGGATATTAATATATGATTACTTTACAGATATGAGTATTTGTATAGTAGATTTATGTATTTGAGGAGGTGTTTGATTTTGAATTCAGCAAGATCTTTTAGAGCCACAGACGCTTTTCATTTGAGCTTTGAAATCCAGTGTGGCAAGAGTGACATCTAGTGGTTAAAGCAGATCCCCAGATTACTGACTGGAATCTTCTGTACAAGCAACGGAGACCTCTTGTGAATGGCGGGATCTATCAGACTTTACTGAGACAATCATACTGTTTATCTAAAAAAAACTAAATGCAGGTTTGGTAGGAAAATACCAGTGACCTATGTCTTATGCATTTAAAAATAACCGGATTGTGCCAGAGTTCATGCTGGGTTTGAAGAGTAAATTAGGCTATATATTTACATTGGACAAATAATACAAAGTAGGGCTGTGAAACGATTAATCACATCCAAAATAAAGGTTTGTGTTTACATAATGTATATGTGTGTGGTGTGTATAATTATTTTATATATATAAATACACACACATATTTAAGAAATATGTGCATGTATATACTTTATATATATTTAAACAAAATTAATATTATATATAAATATTTGATATATTAATAACACATTTTTCTTAAATATATACATGCATATGTGTGTATTTATATACAAAATAATTATACACACTACACACACATTCTGTAAACACAAACTTTTATTTTGGATGCGATTAATCGTTTCACAGTCCTAATACAATGTGTGAAAATTAAAAAAAAGAAAAAAAAAAAGAAGGTATTTTTCTGCCATTACTCAACACAGAAGTATACAGAAGATCCCTGTTGTAAAAAAAAAAAAAAGCTCATTGTGTGTCATTACTGATTGTAACCACTAGATGTCCCTCTTGCCATAATGTGGATTTCAGTGTTCAGGTTAAAAGCCATCAGCCACGTTCAGACTGTCACTCCAAATCCGATTTTGTGCAAATAATCAGTCATATAAAGTATGAACTGAAAAACAAAAATGAAATCAAACACGTCAAAACAAAGTAGGTTACTTATCCAAGATTACGTTTTTAATAGTGTAGCAAGATAAGCAGGAGAATGGGAGGGGAATTGGGAAGTAACTACCAATCCCAGTACAGATTGCCTATAGGATGGTCCAATTTAAAGGACAGGCAACATGGAAGGGCAGCCGGGGTCCTTGCAGCATCAGTTAGCCGTTTGGCTAGTAGCGTGTGGGACTGGGTGTCCTGTGATGTACTCTTCCTCGATGGAAGGTAAACCTGTTTTTTTGTTGTATTACTGCAATGGATGTTTTTATTGTGTTGATGCAGTCACTAACTATAGATTTAATAATTCTTTTAGATGAATCAGTGGTATTTGAATCCATTATGTGTCATGTGGGCATGAGGTGGTAATTGTGTTAATAGGGATATTTTACTATGTTTTAGAACTGTTTGCCTGATGGAATAAATTCAGGACCATCATGTTTTTTGTCTGATTGTGCACCTTAAAGGTATGGTTATTCATTTTGAGTTTGTTTGTTTGTTTGTGATGTGGATGGGACTGACACTCATGAAAAATACTCAATTTTTAGAACTGTTTGCCTAATGGAATAAATTCAAGACCATCATGTATTTTTCCGGTTGTGCACCTTCAAGGTATGGTTATTCATTTTGAGTTTGTTTGTGATGTGGATGGGACTGACACTCATGAAAAATACTCTATTTTTGTTATAGGGTGTTGGATGTTGATTGCTAGTCGCTGTTCTCTTATATGGTTTTTTGTTTATTTTTGAAAAAAGCCTGAAGTTGACTGCTCCCTGACTTATTGGTGGCAATGAATTTCCTAGCCAGCTTGGTTTGTTTGGTTTTTTTGGGGGTTTTTTTTTTTTCCTCTGTTTAAAGTATTGATTGATTTTGGGTTTTTTTGCGGCTGGCTAGTGGAATTATTTATTTATGTTTCCATTTTTTTTTTTTTTTTCTTTCTTTGAATCAATTATGTAATACCAACTGCTTTCCATCCTTGATTAAGCTGCCAGGGGGTAGTTTTCCATCGTGATCGGGTGGTGAACATGGAAATAAGAATAACAGCGCCCTTATAGGTCTGGTGGTTTGATTTGTGTGTTTGCCACATTGTGCACGTGTATCCTGTTGTAATGAAGGGCTTACTGGAGTTTGCTGTGGTTATCACTCAATGCAATGAAGTGTCCCCTGTATAGGTAACTCAAGTTGTTTTGTATTCCTAGCCAGACCAATTGAATTGCCCCCATCCGCTGAAGCAGTTTATGTTTTGAATAATTTTACAGTACTGCTTAATAAAGAAATTTGTATTTTTTATAATTTGTCTTTTGTGTTCATTTTTTTGGGGGCCCTAGCGGGTGTCACATTTTGGCGTAGTCGGCAGGATCGAGCTAAATTGGTTTTGGGAGCAGTCAAGTTGCTTGTTGTGTTTTTTTTTGGTTTGTTTTTTCTTTTTTTTTTTGAAGAGAACAGCGGCTAGCAGGACCAGTGCTTCTTCGTGGGACCTTCTTCTGTCAAGCCTTCGAAATGGAGGACGAACTACGACGACTGCGGGCTCAAGTGGAGCAGCTTCAGTTGGAGAATTAGAGACTGTCTGTGCCCAGGCCAAGTGGGGATGCGGGGGAGGGACAGGCTAGTGGGAGTGATACGGTATCCTCTCGTAGAGAGCAAGCTGTTTACCTCCCTAGAGAACGTAAATGTCCAAAATTCTCGGGATCCTTGGTTGCTGGGGCACTGTTGGTGGAGGAGTGGATAGAGGAGGCACGGAGTTGCATTAGGTTAAGGTATATGTCTGAATTGGATAAGGCTTTATTTCTGTTGGACCACCTAGAAGGGGAGGCTCGAAATGAGATCAAATACCGGTCTCAGGGGGTGAGGGAGAATTCTGAGCAAATTTTTAATGTCCTGAAAGAAGTGTATGGATGCTCAAAATCTTATGTCTATTGGCAACAAAAGTTTTTTGATCGAAAGCAGAGGGATGGGGAGTCATTACATGAATTTTCACATGCCCTATTGGCTCTAATGGAGAGGGTGGAGCAATGTAAGCCGGGTGCGATACCAAACTCGGAGATTGTTATAAGAGATCAATTTTGTGAAAATGTTCGTGATCCTATGCTTCGTAGGGAGGTAAAAAGGCTGGTACGAGATAAGGAGACTATGTCACTTCTGGAAGTACGGCGGGAGGCCATTCAGTGGGTAGAAGAGGGACAGCCCAGTAGGGAAAAACAAGTACGCCCTTCCCCTCAGACTTGTGAGGTTCAGGTTACACCTAGTTGTGAGGTTCTTTCTGTCCAGCCATCTTCAGAGTTGACTGAACTTAAGAATATGGTTCTTAAACAACAAGCACAATTGGATTTATTGGTAAAACACCTGGCCCCTGCTACTAGTAAACCTTCAGTTAAGAATAATCGTTTTAAACGTGCATCTGATGGCCGGCCAATTTGCATTAGATGTAACTTGCCTGGACATATAGCCAGGTATTGCGAAACTGTCCTGGATACTCAGATTACTGGGGGTGTATCCATTAGGGAATCAACTAGGCAGTCGGAAAACTAGTGACCCCCAGCGTGCAGAGCCACGCGCTGGGAGGAACAGTAGATGGCTCCAGTTTGGATTCTTTAGTTTATGATCGATTAGTAGGGCCATGTCCAATGTTAAGTGTGAAGATGAGTAATGTTGATGTTCCATGTTTGGTAGACACCGGTTCCATGGTAACTACTGTGACCGAGAGTTTTTTCAATAAAGGTTTTTCTCATTTAAAGAAACAGGATTGTGAGTGGCTTGGTCTAAAAGCTGCTAATGGACTTGACATACCTTATGTAGGCTACGTCGAACTAGATGTGATTTTTCTGAATCAGTGCATCCCAAAGCGGGGTATTTTGCTTGTCAAGGACCCTATGAATGTAGCCTTGCAAACCCGTAAGACTGTTACTCCTGGTATTTTGGGGATGAATGTCCTCAGGGAGTGTTATCAGAGACTGTTTCAACAATTTGGTACAAGTCTTTTTCAGACCCCATTAGTACAATCTGCGGCTCCCATGGTTAGGCGTGCACTTCGTCAGTGTGAGAAAACTGAGGCGATAACTAATTCCACAGTAGCATTCAAAGTAAAAGTACTAGGTGACAGACTCATTTGTATTTCTGCTGGAACCCTTTCCATGGTGCCCGTCACATGCCCCCAACTTCCTTTGGCAGAGTTTCTGTTAGAGCCTTTGGGCCCTGATGAGGGTACTCTTCCAGAAGGATTGCTTATTTTACCTACCCTTTTACACGCAGAGTATGGTACATTATATGCCCCTATTACCAACGTAAGTTCCTTGGACGTCTGGCTTCCTCCTCGGAGAGTGGTGGGTACAGTACAGGTGGCTTCGGTTGCCGTGGAAGCCCCAGCTTCGCTGACATTTTCTGTCAGTCAGATGGCCTCAGAACGTGTGGCTTGTATAGCTACTCAACAAGTCCTGACTGAGAATAGTGTAGAAGGTTTGGAATTTCCCTCTTTTGATGGGCTAACAGAGGAGCAAGTCATTCAAGCCAAGTCTCTCCTTCTTAAGTATTTTAGTCTGTTTTCTAAAGATGAGGGAGATTTAGGGTGTACCGATTTGATTACACATGAGATTCCTTTGCAGGATGAGGTCCCTGTTCGCCAGCCTTACCGCCGTCTTCCGCCATCACAGTATGACTTGGTGAAAACGCATATTAAACAGTTGTTGGATAGTCAGGTTGTTAGGGAGAGTAGTAGTCCTTACTCCTCCCCAATTGTAGTGGTGACAAAGAAAGATGGCAGCATAAGGTTATGTGTTGACTATAGGCAACTAAATGCGAAAACTCGAAAGGATGCTTACCCCCTCCCTCGAATTGAGGAGTCATTGGATGCGTTATCAGGGGCAAGGTGGTTCTCCACTCTTGACCTGGCCAGTGGTTACAACCAGGTGCCGGTGGCAGAGTAAGATAAATTCAAGACTGCTTTTTGTACACCTTTTGGCCTCTTTGAATTTAATAGAATGCCCTTTGGCCTTTGTAACGCACCAGGCACTTTTCAAAGATTAATGGAGCGCATGTTTGGAGACCAGCGGTATCATTCTGTGCTGCTTTATCTGCATGATGTAATTGTGTTTTCCTCCTCTGTTAGTCAACATCTGGAGAGGTTGGAAGAGGTGCTCTCTCGACTCCAACAACAAGGGCTAAAAGTTAAGTTATCCAAGTGTAATTTTTTTCAAAAACAGGTCAAGTACTTGGGTCATGTGGTGTCTGCTGAGGGTGTGGCGACTGATCCTGGCAAGTTGGAGGCTGTATGGGAGTGGAAGCGTCCGGTGCATTTAGCAGAATTACGGTCGTTTCTTGGGTTTGCAGGGTACTACCGTCGTTTTGTTAAGGGTTTTGCTTCACTGGCTGCCCCGCTACATCAATTGGTGAGTAGGCTGAGTGGACCTAAAAGGAAGGGTAAGACGCTTCCGATCCCATTAGGATCAGTATGGAATGAGGCCTGTGAGAATGCCTTTGAGTCCATTAAACATCGTTTGATTACGGCTCCAGTCTTGGCCTATGCAGACTTCACTAAGCCTTTGTATTGGAGGTAGATGCCAGCCATGGAGGGCTGGGAGCCGTACTTTCTCAGGAGCATGATAAACTCAGGCCTATTGCGTATGCTAGTCGGGGTTTGAGACCCACCGAAAGAAACATGGACAATTATAGTTCCATGAAGCTTGAACTCTTGGCAGTAACAGAAAAGTTTAGAGAGTACCTGCTAGGGAGTAATTTCATCATATTTACTGACAATAACCCTTTAAGCCATCTTCAGACCGCAAAGTTGGGGGCGGTGGAACAGAGGTGGGCATCCCAATTGGCCTCATTTAATTTTACCATCAAGTATCGTCCGGGCCGTAGTAATGGCAATGCTGATGCTTTGTCGAGACAGTATCTGGAGAGATTTGCATCAGGGACAGACGTTCCACCTGTTTTGGTGGGACCGTTATCCAAGGGGTCAGAGAAAGAGGTAGGGTGTAATGAGGTTGTAGCACTGGCTGGGCGGTCTGTGGAGGACCTTTCCTCATTACAAGAAATGGACCCTGTGATTGGTCCGGTGTTGGCGTTATTTCGGTCAGGGGGTCAGCCTAGATCTGAAGAGAGAGAGGCAATGTCAGTGGGAAGTAAGGAACTGTTACGACACTGGGAACGGTTGGTAGAGAAGGGAGGGGCATTATACCGGGTAATACGATTACCAGGGGAATGTAAGGATACCTTTCAGGTTGTACTTCCCCAGTGTTTGCAAGAAGAGGTACTTCGAAGTGTACATGACGGCCATGGCCATCAAGGCATTGATCGTACTCTTCAGCTGGTTCGTAGCCGGTGTTTCTGGCCAGGTATGACAAGGAGAGTGGAACAGTGGTGTCAACAATGCGAAAGATGTATTCTAAGTAAGGCGGTGCAACCAAAGATTTGGTCTTTTCAAGGTACAATTCAAGCCTCCCGCCCTCATGAGATCCTGGCTATAGATTTCACCATTTTAGAGCCAGCCAGCGATGGTCGCGAAAATATTCTCGTTTTTACAGACGTTTTCTCTAAGTATACTCAGGCAGTGGCTACTAGAGACCAAAAAGCTAGTACCGTGGCCCAGATGTTGGTACAACATTGGTTCCATTGTTTTGGACCTCCAAGTCGAATTCATTCTGATCAAGGGAGAAACTTTGAGAGTATGATAGTTCAGCAGTTATGTAGAAACTATGGGATACAAAAAAGTAGAACCACTCCCTATCACCCCCAGGGAAATGGTCAATGCGAACGATTTAATCGTACCCTCCATGATCTTTTACGAACGTTGCCACAGGAAAAAAAAAATTGGCCTCGCCATCTCTCACAAGTTACTTATGCTTACAATACCACTGCCCATCATGTTACTGGTATGACTCCTTATTATTTGTTGTTTGGGTGTGATCCCAAACTCCCCGTGGATTTTTTGCTTGGAAGGAGCGAAGATGGTAGTTTTAGTCCCACTGAAGATTGGGTGCGAGACCATCAAGAGAGTTTGAGAGTAGCCCATGATCATGTAAAGCAGCAATTGCAGGCTAAGGTAGAGAAGCGGAACCAAAGATATAATGAGAAAGTAAATGATAGTGGTTTAGAAGAGGGGCAGTTTGTGCACTTGAGGAATCATGTAAAGGGGAGAAACAAAATTCAGGATTTTTGGGATCCTTGCCTTTATAGGGTTATTCGAGGTCCCTCTGGAAATGGGGCAGTTTACTCAGTGGTGCCGGTATCGGGAGACGGTCCCATTAGAACCATACATCGGTCTGAATTAAGGAATGCCATACGTAGACCAAGCATTGAAATGCCTGACCCTCCAATGGTACTGGATCCTGAGGGCTCCCTTTCTGGTTTGTCGAGATGTCTGGGGATTCTTGGGTGGTTCTTTTGGAGGGTAGTTCAGACCACCCTGTCCAGTCAGATGAGTTGATGCCTTCTCTTTCTGGCTCTAATGATGCCAGGAATGTAGGGCCGTTGCAAAGTTCTGTTCCTTTGCGACGGTCTGCTAGGGCTTCGACTGGCCATCATTCCAACCCTAACAGATTACCACGTCCTCTGGGTGCAAGGATGCCAAATGTTGGGGAAGAGCAGTAGTATTCTGTTTTTGTTTGTTTTTGTCCTTGGGGCAATGACAAAAATTGTAGGGGGTGGATTGTAGCAAGATAAGCAGGAGAATGGGAGGGGAATTGGGAAGTAACTACCAATCCCAGTACAGATTGCCTATAGGATGGTCCAATTTAAAGGACAGGCAACATGGAAGGGCAGCCGGGGTCCTTGCAGCATCAGTTAGCCGTTTGGCTAGTAGCGTGTGGGACTGGGTGTCCTGTGATGTACTCTTCCTCGATGGAAGGTAAACCTGTTTTTTTGTTGTATTACTGCAATGGATGTTTTTATTGTGTTGATGCAGTCACTAACTATAGATTTAATAATTCTTTTAGATGAATCAGTGGTATTTGAATCCATTATGTGTCATGTGGGCATGAGGTGGTAATTGTGTTAATAGGGATATTTTACTATGTTTTAGAACTGTTTGCCTGATGGAATAAATTCAGGACCATCATGTTTTTTGTCTGATTGTGCACCTTAAAGGTATGGTTATTCATTTTGAGTTTGTTTGTTTGTTTGTGATGTGGATGGGACTGACACTCATGAAAAATACTCAATTTTTAGAACTGTTTGCCTAATGGAATAAATTCAAGACCATCATGTATTTTTCCGGTTGTGCACCTTCAAGGTATGGTTATTCATTTTGAGTTTGTTTGTGATGTGGATGGGACTGACACTCATGAAAAATACTCTATTTTTGTTATAGGGTGTTGGATGTTGATTGCTAGTCGCTGTTCTCTTATATGGTTTTTTGTTTATTTTTGAAAAAAGCCTGAAGTTGACTGCTCCCTGACTTATTGGTGGCAATGAATTTCCTAGCCAGCTTGGTTTGTTTGTTTTTTTTCTCTGTTTAAAGTATTGATTGATTTTGTTTTTTTTGCGGCTGGTTAGTGGAATTATTTATTTATGTTTCCATTTTTTTTTTCTTTCTTTCTTTGAATCAATTATGTAATACCAACTGCTTTCCATCCTTGATTAAGCTGCCAGGGGGTAGTTTTCCATCGTGATCGGGTGGTGAACTGGGAGTACAGATTAACAGAGCCCTTATAGGTCTGGTGGTTTGATTTGTGTGTTTGCCACATTGTGCACATGTATCCTGTTGTAATGAAGGGCTTACTGGAGTTTGCTGTGGTTATCACTCAATGCAATGAAGTGTCCCCTGTAAAGGTAACTCAAGTTGTTTTGTATTCCTAGCCAGACCAATTGAGAAATTGCTGCCCCCATCCGCTGAAGCAGTTTATGTTTTGAATAATTTTACAGTACTGCTTAATAAAGAAATTTGTATTTTTTTATAATTTATTGTCTTTTGTGTTCATTTTTTTGGGGGCCCTAGCGGGTGTCACAATAGTATTTCCGTTTCGTAATTAAAACATTTAGGCTATGATGTAGCCATGCCATGCACAATAGACTGTCACTTTCATTGAAAATCAAGATTTTAATGTTATTTATGTCTATGTGGTGTTTTTAATATGCTTTAAGACAAACCATGTGCAAATTCATGTCAACATCATTACTGAGTATTTTCTCCTTAAAACTGCAGTGAACCAGACTCAAAACTGGCACAAACTACCTTGTAACCAATCACG